CTCTTCTTTCGCGAGCAAGTCAAAGTTTCGAAGGATTCAGCGGGGTGTGCGTAGTTTGGACCGAACGTCTCGAGAAGTTTGAGAGGTACATGTACACATAGCGAGGTATATGGCGAAGTGCGAGGAGATCGCAAAGTTGTAAGGAATTTTATGGATTTTGGAGAATTTTGTGGATCGTAAGGAGTAGTTTAATGGCATTTGCGCTATTTTGGAAGTCTCAGCACCTTGGAAGTTGGCCGGGTTTGCGGATCGCGAGAACTTCCAAAGTTTCAGCGTCTGGGAAACGTCGATCGTTAAAAATACCAAAATCGCTTGGAATAACTGGAAAATCTTGGCCATGGACACTGTCAGACTCGCCTTGATAGCATGCGGAACAAATATTCTCATGAAAATTTCCTTCGCTCGTGTATTCCCATCACGCCCGGCCGAAGTCAACGATGCCAAGTATCCTCGCAAACTGCTCTGACTTTTAATTAGGCAGATCGATGAAAACACTTTTAGCCTTGTTAATTAGCGCCTCGCCGACAACTTTGACGAGGTTTGCGGCTAACTGCATTACATAACGCGGTTAACACGTGCTGGAGCACCGGCTTTGCTATTTCCATCGCTGTCTTTTCCTAATGACACGCTCGATCATCGAATCAGCCCGGTAAACCGATAATTCGGTTTGCTAGCCGAGCCACCTCGGTCGATGTTCCTCCGACGTTCGCACACGATCGTCTACGCCTGTGATCCGCTAATTGGATGACTCAAAGGAACGTCACGCTGCGTTTAATTTCATTTAAATTGGTTGCGTCGCGGGGGAATACGATACGACGGAGCTTGTTTGGCAAGACAAATCGAAAGGCTATTTTCCGCCATGTTAGAGAAGATTGTTTCGAGTTGCTCTTTCTTCCAGCGATGAAACGCTCTTCCACCGACGAAATACGTTATCTTCGCGAAACCAGATCGATTCAGCACTGTGATTCGAAACTGTAATTTATTAGTTGGAAAGAGAATGTACCTTGCTGTGTGAGATTGCTTGATTATTAGAACAGACCGGACAAGTTTAGATCGATGGAGTTCGAGAGAGTTGCCGTTTCCTTTAGAAATCAAATTTCTCGTATGCCGGTGTATACCGTTCGACGATAGACGTTGATCTCGTCGACGATGTAGATTTTTATCGATTATGTAAATCGACTTAGTTTCGCATTTATATCGGTTTCGAGCTCACACCGGTCTATAAACCTTGTTACGTTCAAATCGAAGCGATCGGAGGCTCCTCGACAGGCGAATTCGATGTCATTCCGAGACACAGAAACGTCCGGAATTCCTGTGAAAGTTCATCAACGAGTGCTTAATTATCTTTATGGTGTTCTTGTTTCGTGAATGCAGGAAGAAAAGGATGTAGACAAACGGAGGATCGTTGCCGAAGAGCTATTTGTATCATAAAATAGAAAGTACCATTATTTCAGCATTAACCTGATATAGAATAACGCGAAAAGAATGGAAAGTCGAGTAAATCGAATGTTTTAAGAATCGTCTCGTTCGTCTTACGAATCTCGGAGAACTACAGTTGTATCGTATCGACAAACTCACTGCTACAAAATCGCTACGTTTCTGTCTCTGAAAATGTTCGCTCCGATATTTGTCTACCCTTGTTTTTTCTCTTTTTAAGCCATTTTGCTGAAATATACGAGATCGATAGAAACAAAGAAAAACTTTCAAACGATAATTCCCAACAAATTTAACGCTTTGCAAGATGTGGTTTTGCCAATATCGATTAAGCACTGTTCGTTTTACTCGGCAGGTACTCGATCAAGACTCGATATGTGTTTCTATATTTCTACTTGTATTCTCGCGTCGCAGTAATTTCAGTAAGATGTATTACCATCGTTTCCTTCGTTTTCTCGAAGAATAATAAACGTTATCCTTCGCTACTGTTTCATCGGATTGACGTACGATGTCCCGTATGTGACGAGCATCCTTGAGCCTTTTTCCATTTGCAAACGTGCTTTCACGACTCACCGTTTAGATGATCCTTTCATTTCTAATCGTTGCTTGTATCGTTTTCTTTCTTCCTTCTGTCCTTTTGATCGAAAAATTTCGACGCAAAAACCAACAGACCGATTAAACTTACTGCTAATAATAAATTCCAAAATGTTCCAACGATTGGAGTATTTGTGGATCTCTGATAGATTAGATCGCGTGCAACCTAATAATGCAGTAATAAGGCAATGTTTGCATCGGATACGTAATATACAGGGTGGTTGGTAACCGGTGGTACAAGCGGAAAGGGGGTGATTCTACGCGAAAAAAGAAGCCGAAAATATAGAATAACAATTTTTCGTTCGAGGCTTTGTTTTCGAGAAAATCGACTTTGAATTTTCGCTCGGTACGCGTGCACTTTATCGCGTCTCGTTATAACGGATCTCACTGCAGATCGTCGTCTTGATGTAAAAATTAAAAAAAAAAATAAAAATAAGATTTTTATTCTATATTTTCGACTTCTTTTTTCACGTAGAACCACCAGTTACCAACCACCCTGTATAAATCTCTAATCTTCGACAAGGTTAATTCGACGTGAAAATGTCAAGGTTAATTTCTAGTGAAATCTAAATCTAGAAATATTCGACTGTATAAATAGATAATCTAATTTCATTCTCAATAATATCTAATCTCTGGCAAATTTAATCTCTGATAATTTTAATTTCAAGATCATTTAATACCGAGCAAGAGTTAGCCTTTGATAAAATTACATTTATTTAGAGTTGATCGATCGAATCTCTGTGAGAATGTAATTCTTTCATCTGTACGCGTATCGATGAGCACAGTAAACTTACCGAAAAGTTTCGCAAATTGAATCGAAACTAGGTGCAAAGTTCGCATAAACACGCTGCCTATCAAACTCATTAAAGCAAACTCGTTTCGAAATATTATTTCTATATTTCTAAGAAATATCATTTATATCCATGATGCAACCGTATGAACGTCCACTGTATCCAGATCTTTATTAAAACACGCGATAGAGCCATTAAAAATCTTACAAATTTCACCAGGAATTTGTAGCGCAAACTCTAGCAAAACATCGATCTACATCGATGATGCAATGCCATCTGCGATGCATTTAAACGTCCAATAAAAAGCGAAGCGAAGCTGCTTCAAATTTTCTAAGTTCGACCAAGAGCTTCTACTTAGCTTCGACAAAATCACTCGAAAGTTTCAGTTTTCCAGACTTCCAGAGAGTAACGTCCGTATTCGTGACGCAATCGCACGAAAGGCGATCGCGCTTGCATCTCCGTTAGAAAGCACGGTATAGCTACACGAGGTTTTGCAAATTTCATCGAGAATTTCTACGAAACAGTGGCAAATGCACCGGGAAATGTCAGCTGCGAATCGCCAAAAAATATCCGTGCCAGTGATGCGAATGCATCGGGAAATGTCAGCTGCGAATCGCCAAAAAAATATCCGTGCCAGTGATGCAATTGCATGGAACACGGATTCGCCTAATTGAGATGCTGATCGATGACCGCAGCGTTGGTCAATGGAATCGCAATCGATCCCCTGGAGAAGCCAGAGATCGGTCGGTGCTCGTACTCGGAAAGGAATTTCGCGATGAAACTGGCCGATGGATAAACGGTGGGGCGGAGAAGATGGAGCCAGCGGAGCCAGAGAGGCCGAAAGGGACGAGGAAAGGCAGAAAACGGGATTACGTAAGAGGAAAGTAGCTTTCCGTTGCGGGACAGGAGAAACGAAGATCGTGGCGCGTTGAAAAGTCACGTCGTCCCGAAGAATAGAGAATTAGACGGCGCGATTGACAATCGCGATGTTTGTAAATTAGGTTTAGATTTTATCTGCACTTTATCTGGCAAGGCTGTGCGAACATTGAGACGCATTAAGGTCTTCGCAGACTTTATCTGCATCGAATCTGAAGTCCGTTTAAGTTCTGTACGTAGAAGGGAAACGATAAATAGCAAAGCGGAGAAGACAGAGAGGAGATCGCCTCGAAAAAGGCGAAATAAAATGTGTGTACGTGCCAGGAGAATGATAAATAGTAAAGTAGAAAGCAAGGAAGGCAGGAGTAAAATGTGCGTACGAAGAAAATGACAGACAGTTGAATCCTTTCGAATAAATATTTATGTAAAATAATTATCTGAATAAATTTATAATACTCGAATATTTTTATCCGTGACAAATTATTTTTTCTGTTTCGTCATATAACGATTGCGGAATTACTCGAACGATAATAATTGTTTGTTTTTGCTTAATTTTGTACAAGTATATAAGGATAGCAGTATAACGTTTGTTATTAATTTACCAAGGAACGATAAACTTTTCAATCTGACATTTGGAAAATGTTAATTATAAAAACCGATATTACAACCGCACAAAGAAGCTCGAGGATATATCTCACGTTTAGTGTCACGTCCATCTTCGGTACAATATAAATAGTTGTATGTATTACGTAATTTTATTTCGATATATTCCTATTTAAATATACATTTTTCGATTAAATCTCTATTCAAATAAATTCTTAATAATTTCTTATTCGAATAAATCCTCATTCAGATAAATACTTATTCGATTGGATATTTATTCAATTTTGGCGATGAATATAATTTTATTCCATATTTTTATTCGTCAGCTGTTACTCGAAAGAAATTTTGACCAGCATTGGAAGAAAGAGAAAAGATCGAAATTCATCTGAAAACTGAAACGACATAGAATGGAAATACTTCGCGTTTTCCATGTTAGTGTTTATTCGTAAATTATTGCGGGGGAATAATGCATAGATTTTACGTGATCGAGATATCTAGAATAATACGCGCGTCAATATTTATAATTTATAAATGACGAAAGCTCGAAATAAAGGGTATTCCACCCTTCGCAATAAAATATTAAAAGTGCGTATGACAGATGCCGAGGATCTTTGTGCATTTTTATGCACCAAAAAAGAGTAGATATAATAAAAATAAAACAGTGAATATCGGCGTAAAAACGATAAACGCTACTAAAACGAAACGAATCTCAAGTGAAACCTTTGTAGAAGATAAAAACAGAAGTAAGATGGAAGAGAACTTGAAGAAGCAAGATCTACGGACTATAGAAAGAGAAACCAGAGTGTACGTGCGTCTTGCGAAAAACCAGATGTACAGAAGCGAGTGTAAGTTGCACGAGAAAGAAAGAAAAAAAGAAAGATGGAAGAAAGGAGGAAGAAGATGAGATGTTGGATGAAAGATGAAGAGGAGGGTGGAGTGATATAAACAGAGCAAGAAGAAAGGAAGAAAGTCGAGGAAGAGAGAAAGGTGGAGGCGAGGCGTGTGTGCAGAACGGAGGCAATGTCACCGAACTTACATAATGTGTCCTGTTTCTTCAATTACACGCGCCGAGATATCGATGCAGCGTACATTTAGGTCGCTTGTACCTGTATATATATGTATATTCGAGAGACCTTTGCTCCTGCCATAACTGTGGAGGATGGAAATGGCAGTTGCAGAACAAAAAGAATGTGGGACGTTGTTCTTTCGAACGCAGATACGCCCGATGTATTTACTCTTTGTATTATTGTCTCGTTTGTTATGTACAAAGTGAGAGGAAACCTGATTCCTTTACGTCAAATCCTCCTCCGTTTCTCTAAACCAACGAGTTGAACAAATCTCTAGCCATCTTCTTTCTCAATCCGTTTCTAACTAAAACCATCGTAACCGTTAACCGAGAAACTTAAAACTTCCTCCGAGCGATAGAAACAAGCCAAATTCAGCGTTCTATGTTTCTTGTATCGAGAAATCGGAAAAATCTCTAGCCACGTATCTTCCTACGCTGGTAATTTAATTCCCAATCTTGTCGCAATGATCACCGCTGTATCTGTAAACTCAGAGATCTAAAATTTCCTTCGGGAACAGTCAAAATCCTCCTTCTCAGCCCCATCCTCGCCTTGGATCTTTCTAAACCGACAAACGTCGAAGATCTTCGAAATAGCCGCAGAAAATGTTCGTTATAGCCTGTTTTAAATTCACCAATCGATGGAACCTTCGATGCCAACATAACGCAAAGGAACGGAGACACAGGGTAACCTACGATAAATGTCAGATCGGTGGCAAAGATCGTGGGACGAGGCATCGAACCGTGTTACGCCCGTTTCGGCGCGTAGTTCTTTCCTCGGTGGTCAGAACATCGGTAAAATCCAGCTATCGAAAGCAGATCGATCCACGCAACGTCGTCAGCTCCCTCGAGGTGTTCCTCGGCTGGCTAACTTTATCGGGCTCGCTCTACTTTCCATTTTAATTGCGAACACCTGGGATTCTTCGATGGAATCCGACGACTGGAAACGAATGGCAGATGCGACGTGTCCGCGCGAATGGTGGGATCCTACGTCTGTAAACGTCGCCGGCGACACTTTCCACTCGAATGGTTCGTCGACGCGACTGGCAGACGTTTTCTAGGTGAATGGAACGGGGATTCTGGATAGTCGGTTGATACCAATCGACGGAGAAATGGGAGAACGAAGGGTGATCAGGTACGGTACTGACGTGTTTGAAAGTCTCATTACGTGGTATATGCTGTACCAATATCGAGGAGATTGGAGTAGTTTGCAGAGAAGGGCAGAGGATGCGCTTAGAGATTTTGGAGTTGTATCGATTCGATTGGTTTCGATTGAATCTTTTATGGATACAACTAAAAGGAAGCATCCTAAGTAGAGATTCGTTTCATCCTGTAAATATTATAACGTATTACGCGTATTCCGTATATTTTTCAAATTTGCCCAAACGAATAAACGTTCTGTCTATAATAAAATACCAAAACTGTACCGTTTGGCCAGTATGAACGAGCAGAATATAATCAGGAACGTTCCTGCGTGTTTCTTCTACAATGTAAACTTGGCATTTGTTACGTGTATCGGTGCAGTCTAAATTTAGTATTGGAAGAAGGCTAAAGGCACCCTGTATCCTATCTAGACGACTGTTCGAAAGATAAATTATTTAAAAAGATACCGTAGCTGTACCATCACGAGAGTCTTTACATTCCAAAACTGATAATTTTCCTATTATCGCAACTTTTACGATAACTTTTATTTTCCAATTTCCAAAATCGCGCTGTATCGTAAAAAATTCGCGAAAACCAAATGTTCCGTCTCCGTCACTCGTATATCGTGTAGCTTACCAAATTTCCTTGTTGTCAGAGGCGCGGCAGAAATTCCTCTCGCGGAGGGATGACCGATGCGTGTATTGGCGCGGGTGAGAGGTGGAAAGCGAGAAGAAGAAAGGTAAGAGGTGCGGATCCCTTCCCTTTCGTTCAGAAGCTTGGAAGAAGACTCGAGAGGAGATCGGTGTAGTCGCAGTGCATCGGCTGCTACACGCTGGCCGAACGTTCGACGTCGGACACCTTCGCCGGGACACTCATGCAACGTGCGACAAAATGCCGACCACGCTGCCCGTTCTGTGTAAGTGTCGTCAACGTGAACAGGAATCCGATTTCCACCGCGTTCTACCGTATAGCGTACGATTCGAGGCCGATTCCTCCCAGGCTACGCTCGACTTCGACAGAGTCAGATCGATTTACCTGTATGGGAAACGTAGGTCTTTTCCCTCAGCGACAGGTAAGAGCTGTCCATTGGTTAGTCCAAGAAGGTGTAGAAATCGTCCCCGAACGAAGATCGAATCGCGTGTTAACAGATGACCTTAGAAGGTGTTCGGTTGACGAGGGTTTGACGTGGTTTGACATGGTTTGAGGTGTCTGGCTCGTAGTTAATTCGTGGTGCTCGATTAATGGTTGGTTAATGAAGCGCTTCGTAATTGATCGATGGTGTCCGCTCTATAGTTATTTAATTCGTAGGTGTTGGATCACAACGTGTACCTAATTTGTACAGCAGCGGTTGTTTGATTTGTGGTGTGCGGCTTGTGGTTGATCTGTTAGTCTGGGATTAAGGTTAGATATTTAACTAACGCTTGGTACAAAGTATCCACAGTTGAATAGTGGTATTCGGTTTATGGTTGTCTGATTCATAGTTGTTGCATTGTAATGTTTAATTTGTTTGTATTCGATTTTCAATTCGAAATTAAAGCTACATGTTTGATTAACAGTTGGCGCCAAGTATCTGTAATCGAATCGCGATATTCGATTTATAGTTGTTTCATTCATGAATTATCTGATTCGTAGTTATTGGATCACACCGTGTTTGCTTCGTATGGTATGCTCATTTGTTCCGAGGTGTATAGTTTGTGGTTGATTCGAGGAGTTCCATTTTTTATGTACCAGCACATCTGACCTGCGATATCGTATTTATAGTCGGATCGAAGTCGATTTTTACTCGCGTTAACTTTGTGTTGTGTCTTGCATTAGCATGTATTGAAAGGTTCGACTTAAATCTTTATTGAAACGTTTGGCTTCTATCCGAAAGATGATCGAATGTAAGGAAAGAACGTCTACGAGAAGTGACAAGTATATTACAATGACGGCAATGGCTATATTTACGCGCTGGTTGATAGCTTTTGTGTCCTCAGTGACGGTCGAAGAAAAAAGCATAGCTATTGAGTAGTTTGACAGTTATATTTTTAACAGAAGTACGAAGCTGATGTTAGTTAAAGATAAGAGAATGTAAAAAGGGACGAATAGATACTTTAATACTAGAACTACGTTCGGTGTAAATGAACTATCTTAAGGAATAACGATCAAGTATCTCTGACAATCCTTTAAATCTTGATTTAAATCGTAATTAATAAAATTGAATAGTCAGATGCTTCCCGGGTACGATCGGCGCATATTGGGGCCATTTTACAAGACCACATTATGTGTCCGGTATTTTGTGGTTAAAACCTTATGAACGTATCACAAATTAATAAAATTAAAAATGTAGTCTATAGGTCAAGGTAGTGCAGCGATTAGACACAAAATAGCAAAGTTCACGATTCCTAAGTACAGTCATGCTGGCGATTTCTCACGAGACTTGCCTCGTACTGTTTATACTTTGTATCGTACGTAACTGCAGCTGTGTATCTCGCCAAAAAATCAACAATTTTCGGTTCGTCCCGAGTCACTTTCGCAGGTTTGCCTCGTACTGTTTGCACATAAATTTCTAGACGATGAATATTCAGGAATTATGTCAACATGAATATTCTATAAGTATGAAGCACCGAGTGTAAAGTAATTTGCTTCATCTTCGTCTAATTCTCAGTTCATTGATACTTCTTAACAGAATTCAGAAATAACGAGCTTTAGAGGGATTAATCTATTGGAAGATCATTGTTTCAACATTGCGGCTGTTGCGTGGGCGTAATTTATTTCGTTTGGCATTTACTTGGCGAATAAATTGGTGAAATAATAGATCTGCCTTCCATGATATAACAATGAACTCTGAGATATTTTATTTACACTTCCTCTGGAAAGTTTGCAGCGTGCTAAGAATCGAACGGACAGTTCCTTCGATAAATAAATATTACGATATTATTCTTTTATAGTATCGAAGCTAATCGTATCTAATTATATGTAAAAACGAAAATTCTATAGTTACGATATTCCGATCTGTCAGAAAAACACACGGAAAGGTATGTTTCGTCGAAAAAGAAAAAAGTGTGTCAAACATTTGAACCTGATTGTGCATGCAACAAACTTGGAAATAATTTTCTTTAATCTGCGATATATGTTAAATCTGCAGTTCCGCCTTCGCGCGATACAAGTGAAATCCTGGTGATTCGTGAACTGCACGAGAGACAGGAACACGTAAATATATTCTCACGATTCTACTCGGTGTATACAACGAAATTCTGTTACGATTGTACGAATGAACGAGAGATTCAATTGATCGGAAGTAACATGCAGATTGCCACGATAGATTAGATAAAATACAGATTGGAATTTTTGCTGTCGTAACTTCTTAAGAGTCCTCATGCATCTGATCGAAGTTCCTTATTAGTTAAAGTATTATCATTCTGTCGTGACTTTTTCATTTTTACGAGTTACGCTCTTCGGATATATTTTAATTATCTTCTTAATTAAAAGTTCTTAATTAACGTCCCGGAAAAGAAGGTAACATTCTTTGTTGGCGTTTTTATCTTTCTTTTTGAGCGTTTCTTCCATTTTAACGAAATGGAACCTTTTCTATTTTAGGTGAAAAAGATATTCTAATTTGTCGATATATTTAATGGATCGCGTGTAAATTACGGAGGGATGATCTTGTAATTATTTCGCTCGTTACAGTTCATTCTTTACGTCGTCGAATATACATGTAAAAATTGCGTAACATCCTTTCACAGATAAATTCTCACCGTCAGCCGTGCATCAATCAGTAGCTGATCGAATTGCAATTGAATTTAACGTGGCTACTGGTTTCTTCGTGACGACAGTGAGAATGGAGCGTGAATGAAACAAAGAGCTGAATAGAACAACAAAAGCAGTACAAACTTTGTAATAGTCAACTTCGATAAAGTTGAAACAAATTACACGCGAAGTACCGAATAATTTCTTAATCGTAAATATTATCCGAGAAATATTAAGAAATTGAAGAAATTAGTTATTAACAGGTTATTTCAAAGAATAGAAAAATTACTGAATACTTGTACATCATCTTAAATATTATTTTACGTTCTGAAACAAATAAAATCTATTTTAAGTAACATATTTGTTCTTTTTAAATTGGTATAATTTTACACGATAAAAAGTTGAAAAGTACAGAAAGGGTAAGAGATTGGAGTTAAGTACGAAAAAGAAGAAACAATCTCAACGAAATAAATTAAAAGAAAAGAATTCTAATTTTCGAAAAATTAACTGAATTACGTAATAAGTATACTAAACAGTATCTAGATGGCAACGAAACATCTGTAATTAAAAATGCAAACGAGTGACTTTTAACACGAAAACTTAACCGAATGACCTGGTCTTTCACGATTTACGGTATGCGCGGCTTCCAACTTCTTAGCCATCCAACTTCGTGACCTTTCTTGCGTTCATCTTTTTAATGCCAACATCTACCGCGAGTATAGAGCCTCGCAAGAAACATTTTTATCTCCCGAACAAGAGTATCAACCGTGTGGAATTCATGGAACTCTGATTCTGAACGATAATTGCCCCTCCCACGACACGCGATCCCGTTATCTCGCATTCTCAATGACATCATTGAGCGCTATACTTTTTTAATTAGGTTACACGCGAGAAAGCGTCCGAGACAAAACCTGAAACTGCTCTCCTACGTCTTTTTTTTTTAGATGTATTTTTAGACTGTGTACATTTATAGATTTCTATATTCTAGTGAATTAATTAAAGAATATTTTTCTATAAAACAGGATTATACTATAAATATTACGCGATAAAATTGCTCAATTTTTAAGTTAAGCCGCGAATTTTCGACCAAGCTGTAGTTATAATTATTTTTTCGAATTATAAGATCGGAAATTTTTTTTTTAATTTATTTATTAAAATTTACAATCAATTCTCGCATTGAAAATTTTCAGTAATTTTTTCTGGCGTGGCGCAGTGACATGGCTAATTATTTATAATAAGTTAATACTTATTATAGATTGGAAATAAAATGAAAACTATATCTTTTTCGAAACACGTATCAATAGAAATACCTACGTTAAATAAGAAGAAACACGATAAAAGTACAGAGAAATCTAATTGAGGAATCTAAATTATCGTAAAAATGAAACTGAATTTTGAGAGAAGTACAATCTTTAAATTATATTTCCTTCGAATGGATCTACCAATTACGGCTTAAATATCTTGAAACAAAAGCAGACAGTTCTTTCACAAGATCAGTTTAATTAACATGTACCGCTGCGTTTCGTAAAAAGTAAAAAATTTGCGTCAAGATTCGGTTACCTGTGTAAATAAATCGAAAAGGCTGATTTTTCTATTCTTCTTGTCAAGTCTATAAAAATATTGTACGATATAGCCATTATATCTTAAATTATAGTCACTGGTTAATGATGTACTCAGTGCGTCACTAGAATTTCGTCACAAGGATTCTTTTCGTAATAAAATGGAAGCAAATGTCTGTTGCAGTAACCAGAGTGTGCGTCAGAGACGATGGAAATTCAGTGTTCTGAGTTAATGCAACTCGCGGCCCGCAAATATGAATTATAATAGTTGCGACTATACAGCGGTGACGAAACGTCGCCAGAGATTCTACTGACAGAATCACGAATTACATAGAACGAAGAAGGCAGAAAAAAGACCAGCGATCATTAAGGAACAATAGGTGTTTCTCCTAAATTATCTTAAACGCTAAACTGTCAGGTCAAGTGACTAAGGCAGAGACTTTCGTGATAGACTCGTCGCAATTCAATTTTCTGTTTGTGTTCTCGAGACAAACAGCGAAAAGACTTTAGAATCTTAATGAATCACGGCCTTTTCACGAAATTACAGTTGAAACGAAGATTAATTGGACATTTTAACTAGTTTTTGGGACAAACGATAGCTCCAGCTCGAACAGTTAATTAAAAAAATAAATGTAATAAATACAGGCTGGTTGGTAACTGGCGGTACAAGCGGAAAGGGGGTGATTCTACGCGAAAAAAAAGTCGAAAATATAGAATAAAAATTTTTCGTTCGAGGCTTTGTTTTCGAGAAAATCGACTTTGAATTTTCGCTCGGTACGCGTGCACTTTATCGCGTCTCGTTATAACGGATCTCACTGTAGATCGTTGTCTCGATGGAAAAATTAAAAAAAAAAATTTTTATTCTATATTTTCGACTTCTTTTTTTGCG